TGGGGATGGCACAGCACAGCCCAGGGTGGTTCTGAGCACCTGAGTGCGCCAGGTGAGGTTGGGAATGCTGCTAGGGAATTCTGCCAGGGAATTCTGCCAGGGAGGGAGGATGGACACGCTGGAGGGGGTGTTTTAGTGCCACCACTTTGGGGGACGCCTCACTCGTCCCACTCAGCTCTTTCACCCTCCCCCAGGTGGTTTTTTATGGAATTCCGGACTGGTTTGGGTTGGAAATCACCTCAAGACTCATCCTGCCCCACGGGCAGGGACATCTCCCACTGTCCCAGGGTGCTCCAGCCTGGCCTTGGGACACTTCCATGGATCCAGGGGCAGCCACAGCTTCTTTGGGAATTCTCTTCCAGGGAGGAATTCCTTCCCAATATCCCATTTAACCCAGCGGAGCAGGGCCCCGTGTCCCACCTGTGTCACCGAGGGGCACAGCCGGYTCTGCTCGTAGCTGTTGGGTTTCATACACGGGCGGCTCTTGTTCTGTCCCCGCGCTCTCTTCTTCTCCGGGCGCTCCTTCTCCTCCTCCATCCCACCATTCCCTTGGCTCTCCCCATCCTCGGCTTTCACCCTCTTGGCCGGGGGYTCGTTCTCGCAGATGATCTGCTCCTTTTCCTTCTTCTCGTCCTTTTTTTCCTCCTCCTCCTCCTCCTCGCCCCCTGCCCGCAGGTAAGCGTGGAACTGCTCCTTGGAGGTGAGGAACCTGCGGGAAATGGGGTGGCCATGGAAAAGGGGGTCGGTGGGGTGTTATGGGGGGATTTGGAGCATTATGGAAATGTCAACAATGAACTGGGGGGGGATTATGGACGGACCAGACACGCACTGGGGGTTATGGGGGAGCTGGGAATGCACTGGGAAGGGGACATGGGGACATCGGGAATATGCGGGGTGGTTTATTTAAAGCACCGGAGAGGGTCTGAAAGGGACCCAGGCGGTATTCGGGCGGTTCCGGGGGTGTTAAGGAGGCCCCGCTCCCGCACTCACCGGGCTCGAACCGGCGCCACGCCGGGAGCTGCCGCCGCCATGCTGCCGCGCGCGGCGATGACGTCAGCGGCGGGGCGGGGGCACGTGACGGGGCGCGCGCGGGGCGGGCGGTATAAAAGGCTCGGGCGCGGCGGGAGCCCCCTCAGAGCGGCGGGAGCCGCGGTTCGGTGCGGGTGTTATTTGTAACCGAGTTTCCCTGCCCACAGCCCCTCAGGGATGCCCAAACAGTGAAATAAGGCCGGAGCGCTGCCTTTGTACAGCAGAGTCCCTTGTGGCAGCTCCTTATGGCTTCTCTTTGGGGTCGCTTCGGTGTGAGGGGCCCGCATTAAAGGGGTCACAKCTGCTGCCTCAGGCCTGAGGGTGGCCATGGCTGCAGGGACCCCTGAGATCGCCAAATTCCCCTTACAGCTGAACAGCACCACGTCAAACAGACACACAAAGTAGCACATTGTGTTCCCTTGATCAATTCCCTGGTTTTGGGGCTCTCCTGCCTCCTTACAGCTATCAGCAGAGAGGATGGACCTCTGCAGAAGTGTGGGATACTTCGTACGGGTTTTCTTTTATTTTTAGGGTTATTTTTAAGCAGTAAGCACAAGGACTGACTGCACAGTGCTAAAGGGATGAACCAGCTCTTGCTCATGAGCTGCCTGGAGGCAGCCTTTGGTCCGTGGGTGGAAATTTGGGCTGAAAACCAAATAAACACATCAAGCGTGGKGTGTTTGACCTTTTCTCCCTCCCCTGTCGCTGCCACCTCTTCCCTGTGTTTGGGGCACTCTTTACCCCCTGTCCTGGTGCCTGATCCTCCGTGATCCTCCAGTCTGACGTGTGTGACCAAAAGATGCTGATGTCTCACGGGTGACATATTTGGAGCCCTCCTGGATGACATTTCCTTTCCAGCTCCATCATCTCCCCTTTGACTCACGCTTGGCCTGGGCTGCTGAGAGTGTGACAAAAAGCTGTGAAATCCAAGTGAAGCRAGAGCTGGGCTCCATCTTTCCCATCCCACACTGAATCAGAGGTGCTTTTTTAGGGTTAAAACCGTCTTCTTTGTTGCTGTGAGGTTGGACATAGGGTCAGCCCTGCTCTGTGGAGGTACCAATGAGGAGACAGAGGGTGATTTGTGGGTTTTGTCCCCTAATCCCCTAATTTAGGGGTTGCTGGGACCCCTGGAAAAGTGACTGCTCATGGGGTTGGGGTATTCCCACAGCGCTGAGATGGTTTATGGGCACTTCAGAGTTGTATGTGCACGTAGGGTAGAGGTAAAAACGCACGTGGAGGGTTTGAATTGTGGTGTTTTCCTGCTTTAGCACAGTTCTTTCCAGATGCTCCATCAGAASTGGCTTTTAAAAGGAGTTGGGAGCCTGCTGGGTGCTCCTGCTGCTGCCAAGGGTGGGCAGGTTGAGCCAGGCTGCTGTGGGGACAGCTTTGGGCTGATTGGGCATTAATTAGCTTCGGAGTGAAATATGAGGAATGCGAAATGCTATTTTAAGCTTCAGCTTGGCCGGGGGAAGGAAGGAAGGAAGGAAACGAGGCTCTGGGGATTMATGAAATGATTTCACTGCTGTTTTTGTGGGGCAATAAGCCCGAAGTCAGAGTGCTTTGGGCTGGCTGCACGCGGCTGAGGTCARACTTCAGCATCAAATCCCTGCTCAGGGCACTTTACAAGGCTGAGCCTTGGATGAGCTTCCCAAAAAACCCTTCCCAAAAAAAACCCAGCAAATCCAGGAGCAGCCTCGTCTAAGGGAAAGTGTCCCTGGTTGTGACAGGGAGTGATGCTGGGTGAGCTTTGAGGTCTCTTCCAACCCAAACCATCCCATGGCTCTCTGCTGGGTATGAAAAAGTGCTGCTCTTCCCTCCTTCATCTTTTCCCCCTTTCAGGTCATGCTGAGGTTGGGAAAGGGGCCGAGGGAACGAGGAGTTGGATAAATGTGGGGTGAACGCAGAATTTGGAAGGCCAGAGCTGTCACTCCCACRTCCTCCAGCAGCTTTAGAGAAAACCAATACCCACGAACTCACTGGGAAAGGCCGAGGCAGGAAAAAGGGAAAGGTTGATTACAGGAAAGTGGGATATAGATACAGGGMGAACTAAGTCAGGAAAAGTTCAGCTCCTTCAAGGTCCAAGTTAAACACGCATTAATGAACCTGCCCCTTCCACAGGCTCCCACACAAAAGTCGGATGTGTCAAGCCCCGGGGTCTGGCTACCACCCCAGGAATCAGCCAGAAAATGCAGTTCTGCAGCAGCCCCCAAATGCCACAGGGAGAGAGCTTTGAGCCTGGAGCAGTGCTGAATATTGTGACACTGTTGTGACATTTTGTGACAAACTCTGCTGTTAATGGTGCCGAAGGGGTTGGTGTCCCATGTGTGGGAAGGTGGAGTGAACCTCCGGGTCCTGTCTTCTGCTCGCACCAAATCCATTCCTCATGCGTCGTCTCCTCTTTTATCCGCTCTTGTTTTAGCAGCACAGCTTCCAGCCTTCTGCAAAGGAGACAATTCCCACTGCTCGTAAATCTCCTATCAGGAAGCTGTTTCCAAGATGAAAGCTTTAAACGTTTCCCCTCTCTGGTTTCACGTCCCAGCTCCCAATTCCCTCCCTGCTGTAATCACCAGCTCCATCCCCTCCATCTGGACACACACTGGGGTCTCTGTGCCTCACACCGAGCCCCCGAAAGCTCCGTCTGCTCCATGAAAATCTGTGCTGGGACAATTTGGAATTGGGGTGTGCGCCCTAAATGCTTGGAAACGCCTGTGCCAGGCTTTGTGTGGTGGAGTTTGGAAAGCTCTTCCTGCTGCAGGGCCCTCTTGGCCRGTTTAGGAGCTGATTTAGCATTTGGAGGAGCTAAAGGTCACAATCTGGGCAAGGATT